TTATGGTTTGCATGTAGATGTCCCCCAAAGCATCATGCAGTCATAGGTGGGGCTTTTTCAGAGGTGGCTGGACCTAGAGTATGCAATGCTAGGATCAAGGGTACTAGAATTAAGGGTGAGAGTGCTACTCATCCTAAATAGCTTGGATAAGATATAAGGGATAGAAAGAGCTGTAGTCTCCCCTTGTTACTTTTCTACTTTCTGCCTGTTATGACTGTTTCTCCTCTGCAATGCATGTCTGTCATCTACTCTGCCTTCAAACAAGCTGATTTTGGACTGAAACTTCTGCAAATTGTGACCTAAATAAACCTTTTCTTCTTTAACTTTGGGTGTTGGGTATTTTGTTTCAGCTCTAAGAAAAGTAACTAAGACACTGGATGTAGGTGGTCCTGGCCTCTTCCTCCTCAGCCCTGGGCTGGAGGATTAAGGAGCTGGTGAGTTGTGTGGCTTGGAACCAGAAGCCATGAGTCTGCTTCACTTAAGATACTTCATTCTCTCCACCCTCATTTTCTTCCTTAATGCCAGTTCCATCCATTCCCCTATCTCAAGTCTTCTACCTACAGGTTATATATTTTTCTTCACATTTGATTCTGGTTGTGTGAGACCCATTCATTAACTCTACACATTACTTTACAAAGGATAATATTTCTGATGACAAAGGTGTTTGGTGCACATATGGTCTTTATTTCTAAGAGTATTCCTCTTATGATTGTTCTTTAATTGGTGTATGTCTTATCTTCTGAAGCAAATTATGCCTCTTTGTAGGAAATGACACATAACTACTTTTTAATGTTTCCAACCTTAGTAATCAAGAAGCACATAATAGGTATTTAACAATACTTACTGGTAGACACGGCACCTTGAGTTTCACCAAATTCAGAATACATATATATATATGTACATATACATTATATATACATATTCCTAGAATTCAGAAATATAAACAGAAAGTCATAATTACAAAAATGCAGACTTATTGATATAAGGTATATTCATGCAAGTATATATTATACTATGGGATCAGAGGATAGAATCTGGGTTAAAATCCAGGCTCTGCACCTAGTGTTACAGTTTTGGGGCAAATTATTTTATTATTCTGTGCTTCAGTTTTCTTATTTGCTAGTGATGTTAACTGGAATCAATTTTGTAGTCTTATGAGGATTAAATTAGAAAATGCATATTATATAAAACATTTAAAAGAGTTACTGGTATATTGTGAAATATTCAGAAAGATTTGGGCTCTAATGTTGCAATTCCTTTACATCTACATACCCTCTGTTGCATGCAAACATTTCCATCCCCTCTCACAAATGGATTCATTGCTTGGACAAGTGTTGGCTGAACACTCATTACAAACTAGACATTATTTTGCAAATTTAGAGCCAAACAAAGCATGATCTATTTCCTAACAGACTTTGAAGTCCAGCAAAGAAGACTGCAGGGAAACAGTAATTGCAATGGAGGATAAATGCCACCGTGAAGTCGAGCACAAGGCACAGTGTGAACATGTTGAGGTACAGGTGTGGTGGATGGGTGGTGGGTTTCTAAGAGATATCCTTTGATCTGGGCCCTATGCTTTAGGAGCAGTTGACAAATGATCAAATCCAAAGAAAGGCAGGTACAGGGCAGCATGTTCAAAGGCACAGAGGAGGAAGCACTGCCCAGGAATTTAGGTTCAGTAATGATTTCCCTGTAGGGAGCAGTGGAGTCAGTGCAGCTGGGCTGACCAGCCAGTGAAACCATAAAGGCTCTGTATGTATGATAAGGAGTGTAGGATTTATCCTCTTGTGGAGAGGGAGCCATTGAATTGATTAAGCAGAGGCCTGATATGATCAGAATTGGGTTTCTGAAAGATCCTGATGGTCTTAGTCTGTAAATTAACCAGAGGTAGATAAAAGTAGAAGAACAGCTCAGAGGAAAATACGAGCCTAAATTAACGTGATGACAAAAGACATAGAAGAGGGTATGAATTGGGGAAGTGTTTGGAGTCAAAATCAACAAAGACTTAGCAGTCATTTGGATGTAGGTGAAGAGGGCAGACTGAAGTTGTATATTCTAATTTTGGATTTGAGTGGCTGGTGGTTGAGGTGTCACTTGCTAGGAGAAGTGTTTATTTAGGGAATGGAAGAAGGTCAGTGTAATTCTGTCTTGTAGGGTTAGAGGTGCTATGGAAAGTGAAGTATATATCTGTGTGTATATCACCCGAGGAGCTTGTTAAATGCAGGTTCTATGGTTTAGACCTAGAGGTCTAGATTCTATGGATTGGCTTAAGGTCTATCAATATATATTTTCAAAAATATACCAGATTGGGCCGGGGATTTAGCTCAGTGGTTCCACTGCCTGCCTTACAAGCACAAGGACTATAATTCGATCCCCGGTACCACACACACACACACACACACACACACACACACACACACACACACACACACAATGTCCCAGATGTTCTTATCTAATAAGTGCATAAGAAAGATAGCACAAACAGAAAAGTAAATATGGATTTACATATATGTGATTGGAGCCGACAAAGAAGAGGAAATGATACAGATTCAGGATTATTCCAAGAATGACTTTTCTTCCCATTACTAAAACCAAGGGATGCAGGATTGGGATACAAGTGTTACATTCTTGGTCCTGTTTATTTATTTTTATTCCTTTGCCTCTCATTCTGTATGCTGACACCAGGATTATCTTTCAAAAACACAGATCTCCTCACCTAAGATTTGGATAGTTTGTCGGTTCTGTACAATGAAGTTCCAGCGCTTTCCTTAAATATTTAAGGTCTGTAGTAATCCAGTCTTAACTCGTATTTTCAGATCCAGTTGCTATTTCCTTCTCCATTAACTCCATATTGCAGTCACCTAAGCTTTGGCGTTCTCTGGACATATTGTATAACCTGTTTCTCAACTTTCTCTCCTTCCTGAAATATCCTGCCTTGGCTTAGCTCTTCTGCTAAGTCATACCTGGTTTTGTAGAGTTCATTCATACATTATCACTTGGTTTTCAGTAGCATTTCTACACATATGTGGCCAGAGTCCACAATATTGATTGTGTCCAAAACATGCTATAAGCAATGCAGGCTGCAAAGAGCTAAATCCCTCAATTAGCTAAAGAAGTGAGTAAGACTGAAGCTACATGACTCACAGAAGTATCTTATGAGCACTGCAGTAGAGCACAAGTCAAGGTGACCTCCCTGCTAACTGTCACGGCTGAGGCCTGAGTAATGGCCTATGAAACTGTGGTGCTGATATAAGATAACGCATGCAGCTAAGCTCAGAGTAAATCATACCCCAATTCTATCCCCACAACTAGTGCCTTCATAGCTTAAAGGACAATGCTCTAATCACAGCCATATTGGAAAATGCTTTGACTTTTTATTTTATTTTTTTGGTACTGGGGATTGAATTTGGGATGTTGCACCTGCAAGGCAGGAGGTGAAACTACTGAGCTAAATCTCCACCCCGACTCTTCTCTTTATAGCCTTGCCTACATTAGATTTCATAGTAATTTCACATACTGCACATCTATACATGTATTGTACCTATTATGCCGATTGATAAATAATAAATTTTAGTGGGTGAGATGGGCCAGTGCCTTTTGTCAAAGGAACATTGGCCATCCTAGTTCACACTTTCTGTTTAATGCTGTCTTAAGATTTTCTTTAATCTTGCATTGTATATTGGGCAGGTGGGGACTACAGACTTACTATAGGAATCTCTGGCAATATGCTATAGTTTGAATATTTAAATATCCCTTAAAAGATGTGCTACAGGGCCTGAGGATTTAGCTCAGTGGCACCATGCCTGCCTCACAAGTGCAAGGTCCTGAGTTTGCTCCCCAAAATGGCAGAAAAAAAAGCCATGCTAAGGCTTAATTATTAGTCTGTGCAAGTATTGGGAAGTGGCTGAACCCTTAGGAGTCGGATCTAGTTAGAAGTTAGATCATGGAGGGGGGCTGCTCTTGAAGAGGATATTGGAACCCTGACCCTTTTCTCTGTTTCTCTCAGCTTTCCAGCCATGATGAAGTGCATGGTTTTGCTCCACTGAATGGCCCCTGCCTTGTCAGGGACCAAGTGGTAGGAGAAAGTGACCATGAATTATAATACTTGGAAACAAGCAGTCAAAATGAATTTCCCTCCTTTTGATTATGCCAGGTATTTTGTATTTTGTTATAGGTTTAGAATGCTGACTAACACATGATACCATCGTTTATTCTGATAATCAGCTTTTAATGCTGAAATGCAATGCAGAAAGAATTGTTACTTTAAATAGGAGATTTACCATGTCTTAAAGGAAATCCATTTCGATCTTCATGATCAGATGTCATTCATTCTGTGTGTGTGTGTGTGTGCGTGTGCGTGTGTGTTTGGGGAGGTGTGGTTCAGAGAGACACTAGTTACAGTTCTAGGATTACAGAGGCTTAATTTTTTTCCCCTTTGATACTGGGAATAGAACTCAGGACCTTGAGCTTGCCAGGCAGGCACAGTGCCACTGAGCTAAATCCCTGATCCTAGTCTTCATTGTTATATAAATATTAAAGAGTCCGCTTGCTTGTTAAAGAGTTTTTAATGGTTAATTAGAAAAGACACGTCCTCTTAACATAGAAGCACTGTATAAATTAGTGCCTAGGTTATGACAGGTATTCATGAAATACTTGTTAGACTGATCTAAAAGTTGCAAAATATAAACTTTTAGAAAACTACAGAAGCCATAAAAACAAATTTCATGTACCCTCAGTTCATTCTGGGAATTAGATTTAGCTCAAGTTCAATAAAGGAAGTTTACAATCCCATTCTTTATGCTAATTTTTAACCACGAACTCATTATAGTTTAACCTTTGGCTAGATATTTAATCAGGCAAACAATATTCCTTGAGAGTTACTTTAAATATTACCAAAAGTAAATGATGAGATGCACTCAAAATGAAAGTTTGTGTTAGAAAAATATTTTAAAAACTACAAACACATGCAAATATACAGAGGAAAGAGAGCAAGAGCTTACTGTTCCAGGATCTAAGTAGGTACCCAGTCCGATTATAGGAATACTGTTTCCGTCATTTAGAGGTACTTTGTGGCTTGTAGCAGTGAGATTCATCTCGGAGAGACGATCAGAGGTATCAGCTCCCTAAGTAGTGCGTGCCTTGGAACACTACTGAAGAATCTAAGGGCCTATTTTATCTAAGCAAGAAGATCCAGGGGAGGAGCCAGGGGAGGAGCCAGGAGAGGGAAGAGAGATGAACAAATCTATTTCTCAATCTTTTATTTTTTAACCCAGTTTGCTCTGAAAATTCTAAGCATACTTATTTTTTGAACTTTACTGAAGGCAAGTAGTTAATGTAGCCCATTGGTAGTTTGTACTTACTTTTCTACAAAGAGAATTTAAAAAGAAAAGGATCACAATCTCTATCATTCAGTATGCTTTTGTTGGCAAAACAGACTTACTGTAAAATTTTATAAATTATATATGAAAATTTTTGGTTCAATTTTCTAAAAAACTGCACTAGAGAGATGGGGCGGGCATAGGAGCTTCCTGATGTCTTTTTTCTTTTTTTTTTTAACAAGAAAATTAGGCCTATAGTGAGCAATTAGTCCTCACGGCCTCATTTAAAACTATTTCCTTGAAGCACCATCTTAGAATACCATATAGCCTCACTCATCACTGGCTGTTACACTCTCCAGTTCGTGCTGTGTTGGACACTGTGGGTAGTACGAAGTGGTATAAACTCTATGTTTTTTCCTGTGCATATGAATTGTCTCTTTTTCATTTAAAAAATATGACAAAATAGAACTTTATCTTTTTCATTTAAAGAAAGCTCTTTATAGCTTTTCTTTGCATATTTGAATTCTAGAATCACTACTCTTGTGCTTTGGGGCAATAATTAAGTAAAATAAGGTGTTTACTGGAGGCATTGAGCATATTGGCCAAGTGCTTTAGCATTGAGCTAATTCCTAGTCCCTGGATACAGGATTCTTGTTGCATTATATTTCATTTTAGTATTCTAAGTATGCTACCCTCTTGTCTTCAGGCATCTATAGCTGCTGGAAAAAAAAAAGCTAATTTTAAAGAAAAACTTTTTGATGTAATGTCACTTCTTACTGCATTTTAGATTCTCTTTGTCTCAGGTTTTGCCAATTTAACTGTATTGTGTCTGAACTTCTTTGATAGGTAGAGTCTTAATTTTCATCTAATTTAGAAAATATTTGATCAGTATTCCATTTTCCCCCTTTCTCTCCCTTCTGGAACTCCTTTTACGCAACTTTGTATGCTTGATGGTATCCCATAAGTTTATTAGGCATGATCACTATTTTTTTCATTTCTAAAATCTCCATTTAGTTATTTTTGGTATGTATGTTTTTTTCTTTGGAGAAACTTTCTCTTTTTACACTTGCTTCAGTAATGCTATCGACTCTTTGTGCTTTTGTTATAGCTGCATTAATGTCATCAAGTAAGAACATCTATGACATCTTGGTAGTGTTGTCTTCTATTTGTTTTGCCAACACAGATTTAGGTTTTCCTAAATGTAAATTTAGACTATTTTGAGGACTTTCTGAATATAATGTTGTTAAGATTTTAAGTCTTGTTAAAATACTATATAATATTGACATTTTTGTTTTAAAAGGCAACCAAGACATATCATGTCAAGGTACAAGATCCCAACAATAAATGAAGCTGTATTGCTTGCTTTAAATGTACCAATAAAATAAATGGGGAAAAATAAAGTACACAGTTCAGTGACATTAAAAAAATAAAAAATAAAAGGCAGCCAAACAGGTTATGTGTAGTCCATAAGATCCCACTTACTTTCTCTGTATTGTGGATCTGCTATCTCTTTACTTGTCAGACTTTGCAGTGATGTTTGGCTCTATCCTGCATGTGTAACAGCTGATGCCCAGTCTGAGTCTGAGAGATCTTTTTCGTTAGCTCATCTTCCCAAATCCTTGATATGCTAAACAGGACCAGTTCCAAACATGGGCAGTTTGGAGGCAATCCCAGGGCAGTTCAAAACATTTATGGACTTCATTTTTCCTAATTCCTCCCTCACACTAATCTTTTTACTTTCTAATTCCTCAATATTGTACTTTTTTAAAACAAATTTTCTTTCTAGAAAGCTTAAGCTTTGGGTTCCTTGCTCTCCTCTGTGCTTCTACATCTGTATTCTGGGCCCTGGGATGAGAGCAGAGAGAACAAAGGCAGCAAAGATTGGTCTTCTCCTCTCAGAACCACAGCTCTACTGAAAAGGTAGACAGATTTCCTTTTTGAAGTTTTGACTCTTGATGGCTTCTATTACCTCAGCCTGTCACAGTACTGAGGTAAAATAGAAGAAATAAAAGAGAGGTAGAAAGGAGACAAGGGAATCATAACTAAAAATTGTGCTATGTAAGAAGACTGCAAATTCCAGGACACAGCTGAAGTTATTGAAGGCCATAAATAACCTCAATTAAGAAAGTAAGGTATAGGGCTGGGGATTTAGCTCAATGGTGAAGCCACCTGCCTCAAAAGCACAAGGTCCTGAGTTCAATTCCCAGTAACCACTCCCCCCCCCAAAAAAGAATGAGAGCCTGGCCCTGAGATGAGGACAGCCCAATGTCAACAGTCCTTGGCCAGATACATGCTCTTTCCCTACCAGACTCATAAATTGGCCAAATTCAGAGAGTCAACAAAAGGTTGAGTAAATCCAGAGAATGTTTAAATCACCTATTTAAAAAAGTAAAACAAAGGTTATTACACTTTTGAAGAAGGTGGGGGGAACTGGCGGGCACTTTTTGCCTAGTTGTTCACCCCCTCCACAAAAGTATAAACATTCATTTTGTATTAATTTTATTGGTACATTTAAGGTATATAATATAATGTGATATTCATCATTGGAAATTTGTACCATCTTGGTTCATAATCCATCTTGGTTCTTGTTTTTTCCCCATTCCCCTGCCCTCCCTTCAACCCCTCCACCCCTCCCTATCTACAAAAACGTTGTTTCCATTTTTTTCTCGTATTAATTCCATTAAACATATTTTTCAAACTGCAATTTGTTTCTTTACTCTGGGCACCCACACCACCCTCTTGAGTGTGTACTATGCTGTCTTTACTTAATAAGACCTACTCCTGCCTCTTTCTGGTGTGTCCTGAAGTTTTTTCTTCTGTGATGGGAGTCATCGAGTTTGCTATAGCAGGGTGAGTTAAGTTTGGGAAACTCATACTCTGAAGTGACATTTTCTCTTGGAAAGCCAGCCAGGAGGTAAAAGGAGACATCACGAGGGTGATTTTTGTAAGCCTGGTCTAAAGGCTGTTTGTTTTTTTTTCCTTCTTCCCCATGTCTTTCAACCCTTTGCCCTCTGAAGCATAATTTATCTATTTTCCTCTCTGTCTCCATTTCTCCCTCTCTCTCCCTCCCTCCCTCCTCTCTCTTTCTATTCTTTTTCCTCCAAAGGTCAGAAGCTTAGTGTGCCAGATGCCACAGCTTCCTTTTTTGGATGGTTGGGAATACGTTCTAAGACGTGCAGATTCAAGTGATCTTTCAGATGATAACTGATGTTGTCCATGGGACCCGGTAAAGTCTATGGTTTTAAAATGAGAAGGAGTTCAGTGGTTACTTTTATCCTCCTCCTTTCTCCCTTAAGAAAGACCCAATCCCTTTCTTGTCTCTTCTCTCCCACTCCAGCTTTTATCTATCAGAAATTTCATGTGAGAGGAAGGGCATGGACTCTGTATTTTCCCTGATAACATTTTTTTTTCCTCATTGAGTTTATTGGTATAGTAGTGACACTTCTTTACATCCCCATAATTCAAAAATTAATACTGTGTCCACTTTGAGAAGTCTTCAGGCAAGGGGACAGGGTATAATGAGTGCATGTTCTCTTCCCATGAGTGATTTGTCCTGGACTTAACAAAGACTAAGACAGTTCTCAGAGGACCCTTATAGATTCAAAGACCAGTTCCAGACTTTGACTATAACTTATGATCTAACTTGAACAGATCTTCATGAATAGTGTATGAATAGTGGCACAGGCTAAGACTAATAAAATATATGCCCAAAATAATGACAAAGATGTAGGTACAGTTGTACTTTATGTGGTGGAGCCCAGTTGACAATATCAGGTTGGAAATGAGGGCTCCAAGAAATGCGTTGAAGTGATTACTTATTTGATCAATAAAATGAGAAAAGGCATGAGTAAACCAGTCAGTTATAAAATATTAGGGAAATCACAGAAGACAAGGAAAAAAGTCTTGTTTTATATCTCAGGCACTTAACTGAGAGCCTCTGTAAATATACTATCATTGAACCCAACTCAGGCGCAGGACAAATTTTATTTGGATCATATTTTATTAGCCATCTATCCCAGATATTCATAAAAGTTTCAGAAATAGGCTGTGGGTTGTCATACCCCTATTAATAAACTTTTAAACTTGGCCTTTGGGATTTTCATCAACGGGGACAGAGTAGCAAGAAAGGACATGGCCAGGGGAGATGAGCACAGGCACGAGAACAGGCCCAATTTATTGATTTAGCATTAGAAATATTGTTGTTGTTTTGTACCAGGGATCGAACTCAGGACCTTGCATTTGTGAGGCAGGTGGTGGAACCACTGAGCTAAATCCCTGGCTAGCGTTAGGAATAAAATAACCTACCTCCTCAGAAAGACTCCAAGGCTCCACTTATAAGATGTCAGATGATTGCTACCACTGTGGTGAGCCTGGAAACTTGCAAAAAGACTGCAGTAAATGAGGCCTTTTTTTCACCTGGGTTGTGTCTCCACTCTAAAGTAAGAAAACACTAGAGGAGAGACTGCTCTTTCCTATGAGGAGGGGACACCTGCCTTCATTTTGGCTGCTTTGGGTGGCTGAAAGCCTCTTAAAGCCCCTCTCAACAAAGTAAACATCACTCTGTAGGAACCTCTGATAACTCTTGACATAGCAGGTTAAAGTATTAATTTTTTTCTGGATACATAGGCTTGTAAATCTGCCTTTTTGGAATATTGAGGCCATACTCTTTTTTATTGAGTTTATTCATACATTTTAGGTATACAGTACAGTTACATTCATTATTGGGACTGTGTACCTTTACATGACACATCTTGGTTCTCATTTTTTCCCCTTGTCCCTACCCTCCCTTCACCCACTCCTCCCCTCCCCATTTACAAACACTTTATTTCCATTTTTCATTTTCTC